GGGAGTCCCGGGGAAGTCCCGGGTCAGATACGACACCTCCCTCCCCCACCTTCTCGTCCTTTTCCCCGTTCCCCCAAACCATCCCACAGCCCGTGCCTCTTGCTGCGCATTGCGAACAGGGTCGGCGGCACCGGCCGTCAGGCCTTCGCAATATTTCGGTCCTTGGAAGCCAAAATATTACCACCATCGCCGAGATCGGGATCTTCTTCCCTCAGTGGAGGCACGCCGCCGATAGTGGTGTTGGTGTCAACCTCTAGGCCTGCGACAATGGGCGGTCAGTGGGCCGATGCATCCCCCCTGAGCCCATCCCCGAGGTCTCGATCCCCAGACCCCCGACGTCATGATTTTTTCATGACGTCGACCCCCCGAGGTCTCGACCCATTCCCCGGGGCCGGTTTTTCGTCCCGAGTCGTTTTGTGACGGTCCCGAGGGTCGGTGGGGGCCCCCAAAAGCCAAAAATCATGAAAAACCTCCCGTCGTGATTTTCTCATAGCTCGAGGGGTCTGGGTCAGTGGGCCGAGGCATCCCCCCTGAGCCCATCACCCCCTGACGCCACCCCCAACAAGGCCACAGGTCGGCTCTCTGGCGGCCGTGGTCGGGACGGCCCTGGGCACCCGTGGAGCGCCCGCGGCGAGGCGCGGCTGCTGGATCGCACACGCCGAGGCTGGGAGACCGCCGAGATCCGACGACCACGTCCGAAAGCCTCGAGCCTCGAGCCTCGCGGCCGTGGTCGGGACGGCCCTGGCACCCGTGGAACGCCCGTGGCGAGGCGCGGCTGCTGGAGCGCACACGCCGAGGCTGGGACACCGCCGAGATCCGACGACCACGTCCGAAAGCCTCGAGCCTCGAACCGAGCCTGAAATTTGCATTAACTTTCTATGTTTTTCATGTTTTTTCTTGATGTTGCTATGTTTCTGGAAAAAACAACCAAAACAACGTTTTAAACAACTACAACGCGGCAGTTTTCCAGGACAAGGCGCCGCAAGTCGACGCGCCGAGCCTCGAACCGCAACTATCCCCCTTCAGCGGCGCCCCCGAGCCCATCCCTCCGCCCTCCTGGCGTTGCCCCCTGGGCGCGGCGGACTGGCTCAGGGCGAGAGTGAGGTCCTCGCCCTGGGCCCACAGGGGATGTCCCCAGCAAGGCGAGCGCCCGGAGCGGCCCGCCCTCACAGCATCCCCCTGCCTTGGTGGGACGGGTCACACAGTTGGGCGCCGTAGCGAAGGATTGCAAAAAAAAAAACCCTTCGTTCAAGTGAGGGCGGGGGGGCACGATTTTTTTTTTGCAATCCTTCGTTTTTCTGTTGCAATCCTTCGTTCAAGTGAGGGCGGGGGGGCACGATTTGTTGCCCCTCCCGGCGGCAGAAGCTAGCAGCGACCAGACGCTGATTCCCAGGTAAAGGGTTGTGAGAATAGAAGCCGGCAGCACAGGGAAGGCCAGCGTCCTCTCCACGCCTCCCGGGCAGACATCCCCGCAGCGAGCTGCTCGAACTCGCAGCGTGTCCCGGAAACGTCTCCGCACTCGCTTCCAATACGCGTGCTGGAAGCCTTTCCGCAGCTCCTTCGAAGCTCGTTTTGGGGAACTTCTGCGAAACTCCTTTTTTCAAGCTTGCAAGCTCTCCAGGCATTCTTTCAAGCGTCTTCCATAAAGCCTTTTCACGGGCTTAGGACTGCGCTGCTATCCGGGTTTTGGACACTACAGATACGAGAGGCTGCCAAGCCAGGCCTGCCAGGCCGGCCGGATCAGAAGTTGGCTTGGCTTTGGTTTGGCCAATGGCCTGAGGGGGCGCTTAGCCAGGGGGCCAAGGCAGGCGGATCTCACAACCGAGGCGGTCCCGCAGCGTTCACCTGGAAGCCCCCTCCCTCCCAAACTGAGACGAGGCCAGGACCGGGACAACATCGGACCCGGACAAATCGGGGATTATTCCTGAGGTCCGGCTCTGGATGCTGTCGGACGCGGCGGCCTCGTCAGAGCGTTCCAGAACGCTCTGAGGGCGTCCTGGAACGCTCTGGAACCTAATCGTTACCCCACCCGATCTTCCCAGAGATCCGATGTTTTTTTCTGGTTTGACCTCGGACCCGGACAAGTCGAGGATCCCTGAGTTCGCGGCGGCGCTGGACGATGTCGGGCGCGGCGGCCTTCGAGAGCACTCTGGAACGATCCATGGAGAGATCTGCCCAGATGTCCGCCCGCTCCAACTTGTTCGATGCGTGGGCCCCAGAGGTCTGGACCACTTCCCCAGGGGCAGTTTTTCCTCCTGCTTGTTCGTTGACGGTCCTGGGGCCCAGCGAGGGCCCCTGGACCCCCCGCCACAATTCTTGGTGGGAGAGTTGGATCCCTGGGTGCTCCAGTCCCAGCCCTCCAGTTAAGTCGGCCCGTGTCCCCATACAGGGGGATTTTCGAAGAAAAATAAGAAATACCCTGAACATAATCCAAAAATAGTCCAAAAATAGTCTGGGGACTATTTTTGGAGCATTTGTTGTTTTACCTTTTTGGGGTATTTTTGGGGTATGTTTTATTTTTCGTCTAAAGTCCCCCTGTAGGGGGACACGCCCGACCAAACCCTACCCTGGGACAGTCCCCGCCCTACTCTGGCCACCCATCCACTGCAATTCCATCCAGGAGGTCGAGCTTCACCCTGGAGGGCGAAGGGCCTCGAGGACGGAGGAGGCACTCCTCCAGAGTGGAGGCTCGAGCCTCCTCTGTTGAGGTCTCTGCAGGGGAACACGCACGACGTAGCCCTCCAGGGGACACTCCGAGGTGGAGGCTCTGGGCGCCCTGGGCCGCCGGCCTCTGCCCGGGGCCGAGATTATCCGGCCGCTCGGTTTTTTTTTTTTTTTTTTTCGCGAGGCCCGGGTTCGGGGACGAGGAAGGAAAATGCTTCACAAAGAGAGGAGGGGGAGGGGTGGAGGAGGAGGGGAGGAGGAGGAGGAGGAGGGGAGGAGGAGGAGGGAGGAGGAGGAGGGAGGGGAAAGGGAGGAGGGGAGGTAGGAGGAGGAGGAGGAGGAGGGAGGGGGTAGAAGAGGGGGAGGGAGGAGGTGGAGGAGGAGGAGGAGGAGGAGAAGGAGGGGGGGCGGAGGAGGAGGAGGAGGCGGAGGGGAGGGAGGAGGAGGAGGTTGGAGGAGGAGGAGGAGGTGGAGGAGGAGAGGAGGAGGGAAGGGGGGAGCCAGGAGGGGGAAGCTCCGTCGGGTGCTCCAGAACCCAGCCCTCCGGGGCGAGAATGAAGAAAGAAGGAGAAGAGAAGAGAAGAAGAGAATAAGAGAGAGAAGACGAAAGAAGAAGAAAACTGCGAGGTGGAGGCTCTGGGCGCCCTGGGCCGCCGGCCCCTGCCCGGGGCCGAGAGAGCCGGCCGCCTCGGCTCGCGAGGCCGCGTCGGCTCGGGACGCGCGCCTCGGGCTGGGCCGCGTCGGCACGGAGGCGGCACCGAACCGGGCCGGGCCGCGCCAGGATCCCAGACACCCTCGAGTTATGAAAAAAACACGACGGGAGGTTTTTCTCTATTTTTGGGCTCTGGGGGCCCTTACCGGCCCTCGGGACCGTCAAAAAACGACTCAGGACGAAAAACCGGTCCCGGGGAATGGGTCGAGACCTCGGGGGGTCGACGTCATGAAAAAATCATGACGTCGGGGGTCTGGGATTGAGGGCGAAACGGCCCAGAGGTTCCCCCGAGCCGCGGCAGGAGGTGCGCGACGGGCGGCGTGCGACCGGTGGTCGGCCTCGGGGGGCCCCTGCGGGGCCCCGCCGTGAACGGCTCGGGGCGAGGTATAATTGCAAGTCCGAGGGTTTTCTTCGGGCGGAGGGCACATGATGTAATCTGAAATGATGCCGTTTCGATGGGTTTTCGACCACGCGCGGGGCTGGCACAGGGCGGGACACGTCGACCGGGAATCGGCGACATATCGCCGACGGATCCACGGTGGGCCCCCGATGGTGGATCCGCACGCTCCTGGGCAGGCTGGGGTTGTCGGGGCCCTACAGTCGAGGCGTTGACCTAAGGAACCCTAAATAAGGAACGAGGCCCCTTTTTTCCAGAAGTTCAACCTCGATTTCCCGTCTAAAACCTCGGGAAAACCCGAGGCAAATTTTGAAACAATCACGGAACACCGAGCCCCTCCGCAACGAAAAGGGTTCCTTCCTCAGCGCCCCGACTGTACCAGCGATGAATGGGTGATTGGGGGTCGATCCCATGTGCCTATTCCCCCCCTATCGCTGGGATGCAAAACAGCGCTGTGCGAGCGCCGGGCCGCAGCGGACTGTCGGCATATCGAAATCGTCGGGTAGGGCCGGCCGACCTCGATCCCAGACATGCGATTTCTTCATTGTTTCAATGCGCGGTCCCTGGAAGTCTCGACCCATTCCCCAGGCCGGTCTTTCATCCCGAGTCGTTTCTGGAGGGTCCCGAAGCCAAGCGAGGGCCCCCACAGCCGAAAACGGCTGAAAGTCTCCCGTCGCGATTTGTTCACGACGCGAACATGTCTGGGGTGCCGACCCGGATCGATCAGGTCGAAAAGCGCCCCGACCCTGACTCCGGATCCGGCCTGCTTCGGGCGCTTTCGCAAGTGTAGCAGAAATTCGCGCCCTCCTTTCCAAGCTCCTTTGGTGCCGACTTCGGCCCCACTTTTCCGTCGCCGCATCGCTATGCGCCACACCTTCTCGGAAATGGCCGCTACACGCCTCTGGGGCGGAGATCGCCACCGCCCTTCTCCTCCGCATCGCTCTCTGACGCAAGTCCACCACCATGCGCCGGATCCCTGACCCCCGACGTCATGATTTCTTCATGACGCCGACCCCCCGAGGTCTCGACCGCATTTCTCGGGACCGGCTTTTCGTCCCGAGCCGTTTTTTGACGGTCCCGAGAGCGCCCCCAAAGGCCCAAAATAGTGAAAAACCTCCCGTCGTGATTTGTTCATAACTCGAGGGGGTCTGGGATCCGAGGTCAGGGCGATCGCATCGACATGGGCCCCGAGGGGCCCCCCCGGCCCCTCGGGGAGGGGCCCGAGCCTGAGGCCCTCCGCGAGGGGCACCTCCGCGGCGGCGTTCACGCACTCCTCTGGGGGGCTCTCGCTCGCGGGGCGTGCCCGTGAGCCCCGCTCGCGCGAGGAGGGGGGGAGGCGGGGGGGGTTGGGGAGGGGCACGCCGCCAGCAGGAGCAAGGAGCAGAGCAGCCGTGAGTGAGCTCCCAAGCAGCCCCGCAGCGGGGGGCGCCGCCACCAGCGCTCCTCCTCCTCTCTCCCTCCTCCCTCCTCCTCCCCTCCTCCTCCTCTCTCCACTCCTCCTCCCCACCTCCTCGCCTCTCCTCCCTCCTCACCTTCCGCCCTCCTCGTCCCTCCGCCTCCTCTTCCTCCTTCCTCCGCCTCCTCCTCCCTCGTTCTCCGCCTCTTCCTCCTCCTCCTCCTCCTCCTCGTCCTCCGCCTCCACCTCCGCCTCCTCCTCCTCCTCCTCCTCCTCCTCCGCCTCCTCCTCCTCCGCCTCCTCCTCCTCCTGGAGGCCAACGGCACTGTAGTGCCAACGGCACTGTAGTCGCCGGCTGCTCGTGCGCCACCTCCCTGGCCAAGGTTTTGCTCTTGGTGATTTTGAAGAGAGCGGATTCCCTCGCCCCCATTGTCACAATGAAAAGCGTCACCGATGACGTGTCGTTCCACGCCCTGGGAGGCGAGGCAACGGTCTCGTCCCAGCTGGGCCGCGCCTTTGAATCGGTGGCGCATGCGGTCCAGGAACGAGGCCTTCCGATTCTCCTGGGGCAAAACAAGCTTCCTGGCTGACTCGCCGGGCTTGGCTGCCGATCTCGCGGCGGTGCTGCCCCTGCAGCTGGCGGGCCGAGGGCGCTCTCCTGGAGACCTGGGTGGGGACGCTGCGGGCGGGCGGCTCCGCAGGATCCGCACGCGTGTTGATGGGCACCTCGCAGCCCAGCGTCGGGCGCTGAAGCTGCGCACGCGGCAGAGCGCGGGCGCCACCATTTTTGGGGTGCACCGCGCCCGCCACACGGCAGTCGCTCTGTGCGGGACCTCAAGGCTTGGGGGGCACGCGGCTCCGCGGCCTCAGGGCTCTGGCGGCGCAGGCGGAAGGGCGCTTCCTAAGGGGGCACGTCGGTGGGGCTGCGCCTTGGCTGCGGGCGACAAGGGGTTGGAGGCGCGACCCACTGGTGCCTTTCTACGGCCGATAGACTGCGCCAGTAACTCTTGCGAAGTCCCCAGGCCCCCGACGTCATGATCTTTTCATGACGTCGACCCCCCGAGGTCTCGACCCACTCCCCGGGACCGGCTTTCCGTCCCGAGTCGTTTTTTGACGGTCCCGAGGGCCGGTAAGGGCCCCCAAAGGCCCCCCAAAAAATGAAAAACCTCCCGTCGTGACTTTTTCATAACTCGAGGGGGTCTGGGGACGGGCGGCCCTGGCCGAGCAGCGGTAGAGGAAGAGGAGGAGTAGGAGGAGGAGGAGGAGGAGGAGGAGGAGGAGGAGGAGGAGGAGGGGGAGAAGGAGGAGGAGGAGGAGGAGGAGGAGGAGGAGGAGGAGGAGGAGGCGACGGGCGGTCCTCGGCGACGCGCAGCTGCCCAGACCGGTGCTTGAGGCGCTCGTTTCGGCCGGCCAGGCCAACGCTGCTTCAACAAGGTCATGGGTCACCTGCAAGGGCCCAGGAGCGGCCTGGGTCATAACTGCCCAACGCGGAGGTTGGACCTTCAAGGATGCGGGGACGGCGGTGGACGATCGGGGGGTGGAGTTCGGGGAGCAAAAACAGGCATAAACATAAAAACCCGGAGGTCCGCGCGGATTTCTCGGATCGGCGCTGGGGCCCCCCGGCGGCGCCTCCGGCGCCGCCCCTGGCGCGCGGAGCGCGCCAGGGAGGGGGCCCCAGCGCCGATCCGAGAAATCCGCGCGGACCTCAGAGTTTTTATGTTTGTGTCACTTTTCGTTCCCCTATTTAAGTCGGGCCTGTCCCCCTACGGGGGGATTTTCGACGAGAAATAAAAGATACAACACTAATTATCTAAAAATAATCCAAAAATAGTCTGGGGACTAGTTTTTCTTGCTATTGTTTGACTTTTTGGTGGCATTTTTGGGGGTACTTTTCATCTTTCGTCGAACATCCGCCCTGTAGGGGGGCACGCCCGACGTAACTCCAGTTTTTCCCGGAGGTCCGGGTGGCGCAACCTTCTCACAGCGCGGCCGCTGTCGCCCAGTGCCGGGCCCCAAGGGGGGCCATCGCAGCTCGGCCCGGCCCGAAGAGTGCCGCAGGACAATGCGGTCGGGAGGGCTCCGGCCTGGATTTTTCACGAGTCTGCATTTGCTTCACTGAAGGGGCCCCAGGACACACAAATACATACACACAAATAAAAGTATTCCCCATATTTTCCCATATTTTCTGGGTGTCTGTCTTCCCCCCCACTTCCCATATTATCCCCTATTTTCTGGGGGATCGAGAATTCATTCTGTCTGTGTGTTTCTCTTCCTCCTGATTCACACCGTGGAGTCTCCAGGAGTTTTTGAGGGGGAGCGGTATGGGGGGGGGGGACGAACTGGCACAGGGGTGGCGGAACACCGAGCTGGGATCGGCGACCCACCGCCGATGGATCGGCGACAGGCCCCCGATAGCGAAGCTGCACGGTCCGGGGCGGGGCGGGCTATCGGGCCCCTATCTAGGGGAACAACACGTGGCGTAAACAGAAAAACTCGGAGGTCCGCGCGGATTTCTCGGATCGGCGCTGGGGCCCCCCGGCGGCGCCTCCGGCGCCGATCCGAGAAATCCGCGCGGACCTCCGAGTTTTTCTGTTTGTGCCACTTTTTGTTCCCCTCCCAGATCCCCGACGTCATGATTTTTTCATGACGCCGACCCCCCGAGGTCTCGACCCATTCCCCGGGACCGGCTTTTCGTCCTGAGTCGTTTTTTGACGGTCCCGAGGGCCGGTAAGGGCCCCCAAAGGCCAAAAATAGTGAAAAACCTCCCGTCGTGATTTTTTCATAACTCGAGGGGGTCTGGGCTAAGGGCTGCGATCAGTGGGCGATCCCGTGTCGATGCACCCCCCTGGGAGCCTCTCCGCCGCCCCCCGGCTTTCGGGTCATAGGTCGGCTCTGCGGCGTCTGTCCTGGACGACCTGGGCCGCGAGGCGCAGCTGCCTGGAGCGCGCCCCTGATCTTTGAAAACCGTCGGGGGCAAAGTGTCAGAAAATCAGCCCTGACTCCAGATCCGCCGTGCTTTAAGGGGCTTTTCCGACTGAAATCCACTTGTGTCGGCAATGTGCCCCACACGATGCGGAACGAACGAATAACCTTCCGCCTCAGAAATGTAATGCGTCTCGTATGGCAGAACAGCGACGGAAAATTACCCTCGCGAAGGACCCAACCACAGTTGTGGGTACCGCAATTGTGAATATCTTCTTCGGTGAAGCTCCCTATGGGGCCACGAAGCGCTGCACTGGCTGGGGGGAACGCATACGGGCGGTACCACTGGGGCCGCCGGTGGAGCTCCCTATGGGCCACGAAGCGCTGTGCTGAGCGCGTGAAAATACCAAATTGAGTGTGGGACGCACGCGGACGGTCCCACTGAGGGCTTCTGTGGAGCTCCCTATGGGGCCACGAAGCGCTGTACTGGGTGGGTGAAAATGCTAAATGGGGTGTGTGTGTGTGTGTGTGTGTGTGTGGGACGCATGCGGGCGGTCCCACTGTGGGCCGTCGGTGGAGCTCCCTATGGGGGCACGAAGCGCTGTACTCTGAGTACCTCAATAGTTCTGGGGTGCGCAATAGTCCGGGGGCGGCCCCTGTAGTCCGGGGGTTGGGCCCCTGTAGTCCGGGGTGGGTTTTTTGGGGGCCCTTGTAGTCCGGGGGGGGCCCTTGTAGTCCGGGGGGGGGGGCCCTTGAAGTCCGGGGGGGGGTCCACTGAAAATCATATCGTCGCCCCTCAGTGCTTCCTTCCCCCTCCCGCCCCCTTTCGCTTTTCAAGTTTTGTTCCTCGTTTCCTGTCCCTTGTCAAATTTTTGTTCCTTGCTTCCGGGTCATTGTAGTCCGGGGGTGGGTTCCTGTAGTCCGGGGGGGGGGCCCTTGTAGTCCGGGGGGGGGTCCTGGTAGTCCGGGGGGGGGTCCCTGTAGTCCGGGGGGGGGGCCCTTGTAGTCCGGGGGAGGGGCCCTTGAAAGCCGGGGGGCCCCTGTAGTCCGGGGGACCAGAACTATTGAGGTACTCAGAGTACTGGGTTGGTGAAAAAGCCAAATTGGTTTTGTGGGACGCATGCGGGCGGTCCCACTGGGGGCTTCGGTGGAGCTCCCCATGGGGCCACGAAACGCTGTAACGGGTGGGTGAAAATGATAAATTAAGCTTCCGAGACGCTTGCGCACGGTCCCACTGGGGGCTTCGGTGGAGCTCCTATGGGGACACGAAATGCTGTGCTGGGTGCGTGAAAATGCCACATTCGGTTTCCGGGACGCATGCGGACGGTCCCACTGGGGGCTTCGGTGGAGCTCCGTACGGGGCCATGAAACGCTGTACTGGGTGCGTGGAAATGCCAAATTAGTGTTCTGGGACGCATGCGGGCGGTCCCACTGGGGGCTTCGATGGAGCTCCCTATGCGGCCACGAAGCGCTGTACTGGGTGCGTGAAAATGCCAAATCTGGTTTCCAGGACGCATGCCGGCGGTCCCACTGCGGGCTTCGGTGGAGCTCCTTATGGGGCCACGAGACGCTGTACTGAGTGGGTGGGAACGCATGCGGACGGTAGCCTGGGACCTTCGGTGGGGCTCCCTATGGGGCCACGAAACGCTGCACTGGGTGTGGGGGGCGCATGCGGACGGTAGCACTGGGGCCGTCGGTGGAGCTCCCTGCGGGGCCACGAAATGCTGTACCAGGTGGGGGGGGACGCATGCGGACAGGAGCACTGGGGCCTTCCGTGGGGCTCCCTATGGGGCAGCGAAACGTGTGAGGGGTGTGCTGAAACGGGTGATGATGATGATGATGATGATGATGATGATGATGATGATGATGATGATGATGATGATGATGATGATGATGATGATGATGATGATGATGATGAATGGATGGATGGATGGATGGATGGATGGATGGATGGATGGATGGATGGATGGATGGATGGATGGATGGATGGAGGAGGAGGAGGAGAAGGAGGAGAACGTGGGGACCGTTATTTCAAAACGAGGACCCAACACCACAAGATGGTTGGGGAATAAAGCGGACATCGGCAGCGAAGGAGCCTGAAAACCAGGGCGGGCATTCCGGCCTACTCGAGAAACCGCCCGAAGTAGGGCGGCTCTGGAGTCAGGAACGCGCTCCTTCGCGAGCATGACCACCGGCGACGAGAAGGAGGCGATTTGCTCCGCCACCTTCAGCGCCTCCTCCAGCACGCCGCCGGCCTGCGACGCGCTGCGCCCGCCAGAAGCGGGGAGCCCCAGGGGCGACGGGCAGGGCCACGGGTTACTACAGGCGGCCGGAGGTGGAGGAGGAGGATCAGCAGCAGGAGGAGGGGATGAGGAGGCTCGAGGAGGACATCGCGGAGGAGGTGGAGAGGTGAGGAGAAGGAGAGCTGAGGTGAGGAAGGAGCAGGGAACAGGGAATGGGAAGGGGAGGAAGCATATCGGGCACAGACCTGCGCCGACGCGGGGCACTGCGTTGCAGCGGACAGAGGACAGAAAGCCGACAGATGGAGCCGACCGAAGGGCCGTCAGATACACACAGAGTCCATGCGGTTGGAGGGAGCCACTCCTGATCGTCGCCCCAACAGACCCTGAGATCCGGGCGTTGCAATTTTTTCATGCGGGGCGTTTTCGTCTGGTTTCGGACCCCAACTCGAAAGTGCAGCAAGAAGATAAGGTCTAGAGCTCCGGTCGCGATAGTCCACGATGTTTCTGAGGATCCGTTCTGCAGGTTTCTTGCTTCCAATGTGGATGATTTTCATCCACTCCGCAATTCTGCATGCTCATGGAGGTTCCGCGGGGGCGGGGCGGGGCCAGGGGTAGGCGAAAAGGAGAGGGATGGGGAATGAAGATGCGGAAGGGAGGGGGGGGAGGAGGGGGGGAGGTGGGGGGGGGATGGGGGGGGGGGGTGGGAGGGGGGGGGGGGGGGGGGGGGGGGGGGGGGGGGGGGGGGGGGGGGGGGGGAGGGGGGGGGGGGGGGGGGGGGGGGGGGGGGGGGGGAGGGGGGGGGGGGGGGGGGGGGGGGGGGGGGGGGGGGGGGGGGGGGGGGGGGGGGGGGGGGGGGGGGGGGGGGGGGGGGGGGGGGGGGGGGGGGGGGGGTGTGGGGAGTGTGGGGGGGCAAAATGGCGAAATGGAGGAGGAGAAGGTGAGTAGGAGGAGGAGAGGTAGGAGGGAGAGGAGGAGGGAGAGGAGGAGTAGGAGGCGAAGAGGAGGAGGGGGGAAAGGGAGGAGGAAGAGGAAAGGATGAGGAGGCCGAGAGGTAGGTAGGGAAGGAGGAGGAAGGAGAGGAGGAGGGAAGGGAGGAGGGATGTGAGGGAGGAGGGAGAGAGGGAGAGGATAGGAGGAGGGGAGGAGGAGGCAGCAGGAGGAGGTAAGGAGGAGGAGGAGGAGGAGAGGAGGAGGAGGAGAAGGGAGGAGGAGGAGGAGGAGGAGGAGGAGGAGGAGGAGGAGGAGGAGGACTGGAGGAGGGAAGAGGAGGAGGAGGAGGAATGGGAAAGCTCAATGGGAACCAGGCATCCTGCGCTGTCCAAGCACGAAGGGGCCTTGAGACACACAAATGAATGCACACAAACAACATACTTCCCCCAATTTTCCCATGCTTTCTGGGGTTTTTGTCTTCCACCCCCGCTTCCCATATTCTCCCATATACTCTCTGGGAAACCGCCGAGGAACTGTGTCTGTGTTTGTTTTTTCCCCTCCTGGACGTAGGCATCCTCCGAGGCCCAGGGGCCCCCTGCAGCGCAAGGAGTGGGAGAACCCGGAGCGTGGCCAAACACAGCGGATAGGAGGGCTGCAGCGCACACCCCGGGGCGCCCGAGGCCGGAGACGGACCGACGAGGACACCGGAAGGGGACCACGTATGTACCCGATCAATTTTGGAGGCTTGGAAATGGGCACCAGCACCAATGCCGAGGGTTGCCTCTACCAGGGGAGGGTGATCCTAGATTTTGGGGTTGGTGGTTCTATTCCGGCCACCTCGGAAGCCCGAATATATTACCGCCATCGCCGAGATCGGGATCTCCTTCCCTCGGCAGATGCACACCGCCGAGATTGGTGCTGGTGTCCATCTCTGCGCCTGCGACGATTCTTCCAAGAGGTTCCAAATAGGGAAGGCCGTCACGCCAGCGTGTGGTGTGATGTGTCACGTGTGGTTGTTCGACTTCTGCTACCCATGGAAGAGACTTGTGACAATGCTGCGCTCATCGATGCTGTGGAAGCCGAGCGCCTCCCGCAGCTTGCGACGACCCTCCGAGAGCTCGGGGAAATTGAAATCGCCCATCAAGAACGTTGTTACATGCGTGCAGCTGCCCGTGTCTCATTCTCGTGAATTCAAATTGGCGAGCAAGGTGGCTAAGAGAAGGGTCGCTGTGAATGTTGATAATATGGAATGCCTCGTGCCCGTTGTGTAACATCAGTTTGTGAATTCGGCCTTGCACTATCTGTGCATGTTGGAGTTCGGGTAACAGACGGCGGAGACGAGGATGGACGAAGATAGCGCACCCACGCCGTTCGTGTGAAACATGCACGTACATACACCCCACGCCCCATCGATCCTAGAGATAAAGTTCAAGAACCGTTCATCGCTTCCTCGCACTTCCTGCAAGCAAGTAGTGTCGTAGCACTGCATGTATGTCAAAAGCTGTTGCTGCTTACGTCGGATGTTTGAGTCCACGGTCTTTTGAGCACCCTGGAGAGACTGGATATGTCAGGTCGCGATTCTAAGTTTGGACGGTATGTACGGCGTGAAGTACTCCCAATTCCTCCGAAGACGAAAATGACAAGGAATAAGAAAATGATGAAGCACTTGAAACACAATCCGCAGAACTAGAAGATCAGGAAGGGGAGGAGGAGGAGGAGGCGGGAGAGCAAGAGGAATGGAAAACATCAAACAACATACGCGTAGGGACATGCACGGATGCAGGGGATTGCACATGGATCGAAGAAAGACGCAAACCGTGGTGTCCCCCCTGACCTTCGTAACCCGGGCAACGAGGCCAGCACGCTCCGCGTCGCTAGCAGAGAGCATGTCGCCAGTGAGGATCAGGTCCATGGCCTTGCCACTGCGGGGAGTCATTGCGGGGGAGCGGAAAAGCAGGTGATTGAGCAAGCTGAAGATAAGGGGATGACGGGCATGCGATGGAACGCATGGGCCAGCCCAGCCGCTCGGCAGCTGTGCACAGCTGTGCATTTCGTCAGTGGCGGCGAAGCTACATTCGCTGTCCTCTGACAGCCTTACGACTTCCGACAGTCCTGCTGCTTCTTCGGGCAAGACCGCAGGAAAACACCATCTGCGAAGAATTGCGCGGCAACGCGTCGCGTCTTCACGTATGGGCTGCTGATGCACTGGAACTCGGGGTCTGTCCAAATATCGCCGTGTATGGGATGTCGGAATGGGCAACGGTCTAACCCTTCCAAGTCAATCGCTATCACTTCATCTGAGCACACGGCTGCATGAACTGCACCAGTGCTCTTGCCATGAGAACTAAATGTCCAGGGCCACCAGCTGTCCAGTGCCGCCAGCACGGCCTGGCTTATTGCAATCAACGCGACTCTCTGTAACAGAGTGTCGCCCAAATAGGGGAACGAACAATGCCATAAACGTAAAAACTCGGAGCTCCGCGCAGATTTCTCGGATCGGCGCTGGACCCCCTCCCTGGCGCGCGGAGCGCGCCAGGGGCGGCGCCGGAGGCGCCGCCAGGGGGGCCCAGCGGTTATCCGAGAAATCCGCGCGAACCTCCGAATCTTTATGTTTACATCATTGCTCGCCCCCCTACCAAAACCACGCTCATCCGGTAAGCGCCTTGCCGCCCTTTTTTGTGTGCATGCACGTGCCTGCAAGGTGGCGCGGAGAACTTCTCGGTCTGCGGCCGCCAGACTCGAGCAGCGCTCAAGCGGCGGAGGGGCACCCCCACGGCGCGGAGCGCACGGGAGATGCAAACACCACGAGCAGGCCGTCGGAGAGCGCCCGGCCATACCGCACCGCACCACAGCTTTGCCGTGCACCCTGCTGCATGGCGACGCACCGTAGAACATGTTATGCAACACATGTGAATTGCCAAGGCAGAAAGTCACGCTGTGCAGGGCGGCGTTAGAAGATGCTGCGCTAGATTTGACTACACCAGAAACGTACGTTACGACATCGTGCTATGAGAAATGCAAGGGAAATTGGTCAGTCGACCTTGCAGGAAGCCCCCAGAAGTTCAACGGGTGTCCGGAGACGTTGGTGAATCCACAACTTCTGTCGGGCACTGGCTGGCAGGCCGACTTCTCTTCTTTGGTGTGCCAACTGTGTATCACGCGTCCCCGTATCCTGATACGGAACCAGAAGCAGTACAGGCTTCGGAAAAAAAGCAAACACTCATGCCACATTCATCTGTGAACGCCTCTCCCTCCCCCCAATGTTCAAAGTTGGCGGTGGGTCTGATGAGTTGCACCTCGACCGCAGTCTCCACCGCGAGTGCCAACCTTGAGTTTGCGGGGCAGGGGGGTGTTCACTAATTGTTTCCCTCTACCGTACCGCACCGCACCACAGCTCTGCCGTGCGCCCTGCGGCATGGCAACGCGCCGTAGGACATGTTACAGTCAACCCGTACAGTAAGGATGCGCGGCAAGGATGCAAGGGCCTTGGACGCCCATGCCGAGGCTCTTCGAGCGGGGCTGGCCTTCGAAAGTGGTTGAGGATGGGCCGAAGATGACCGAAGAGGCAAGGATGCAAGGGTACCCTTCAGAAGGTTGCCCATCCTTATTGTGCGGGTTGACTGTATGCAACAAATTTGATCTGCCAAGGCAGAAAGTCACGCTGTGCAGGGCGGCGTTAGAAGATGCTGCGCTAGATTTGACTACACCAGAAACGCACGTTACGACATCGTGCTATGAGAAATGCAAAGGGAATTGGTCAGTCGACCTTGCAGGAAGCCCCTAGAAGTATAACGGGTGTCCGGAGACGTTGGTGAATCAACAGCTTCTGTCGGGCACTGGCTGGCAGGCCGACTGCTTATCTGGTGTGCCAACTGTGCATCACGCGTCCCCGTGTCCCGATGCGGCACCAGAAGCAGCATCAACAGCACGCCACGCTGTCCCGCGTTACGCTTCACTGCGCCGTCCTATTCCACCGCGCAGTGCCCACACAGCTGCACACACGCATACGTAAATATACGAGTGCGCGCGTGCACACGCTTGCAGGGAGAGGGGAGGGGAGGCACAGAGGAGCGAAAGCGGGACCCGGCTACATGCATGGGGGCAGCATGCACAACATCGCGAGCTGACCGCACGTGCTTCGCCGCATGCTCTCCCGACCGCGTCTGGGTGCCGCTGTCGACTGCCCTGAAAAGCAGGGATGCCATTACACATGAATTATGCCACAACTGAAGAGACTGACGCCGCGCACCGCGCCAGCTGCTGCGGACTGCTGCCTGCCTTGGGGCCTGCTGCTGCCCCTTCCCCATTCCATCCTCGCCCCCGCGGCCTGTTGTGCGACCTCCCGCCCCTCCCTCGTCCACCACCCCTCTGAGAAACAAGGAAGCCCACCCCTCTCCACCTCCTCCTCCTCCTCCTCCTCCTCCTCCTCCTCCCTCCTCCTCTCCTCCTCCTCCTCCTCCCCTCCACCCTCCTCCCCTCCTCCATCCTCCTCCCCTCTCCTCCTCCTCCCCCTCCCCCTCCTCCTCCTCCTCCTCCTCGTCCCTCCTCCTCCTCCTCTTCCTCCTCCTCCTCCTCCTCCTCCTCCTCCTCCTCGCGCCCCCTCGCACCCCCGCAGCCCAGACAAGCCCTCGAGACAACTGGCCCCGCCAGCCGAGCGCCGCCTTCGCCTTCCCGACTGCTCGCAGCAGTCTCTGCGTGCCGCCAACGCCTGGGATCGTTCCGAGCTTGATCTCCGGCTGCCCGAACTTCGCGTCCTCGACATGGGACGCACAGAGACATACTAATACTATGTGTCCGCCTTGGAGGGGCGCGTCCGACCCGAACATATAGTATACCTATATTGTAGTATATCGTTTCTCGAGCGGTGTGGCCAGAAAGCGCCCGCCACGACGCATATACTATAAGATTTTTCGGTGCGCGCGTCGCCCCTGGGGGGGCGACGAACACATAGTAGAAGTATGTTGGGGGGACGCCGAGCGATCGACGGACGCCGCGAGCAACAAGTCAAGGCAGGCCCTCCCACCCCGCTGGTGCAAAATGCCGCGTCCTTCCCGAAGGACCATGTACAGTAGCCATGCCGTGAGGCCCCCAAGAGGCCGCCAAGAGGGCCCGGAGACGGTCCTCAGCACGGCCCCAAGTCGGCCCCAGAGGCCTTCAAGACGGCCAATGGGGCAACTCGGAGGGGGCCCGGGAGCCTCCTCCACAAGACGGCAAGGCCCCCAAGATGTCCCCAAGAGGCCCCCAGCGGGCGTCAAAAAGCCCCAAGGGGCCTTGAAAAGGCTCCCACGATGCCACCCTCGAGGCCTCCAAGAGGCCCGCAAGGAGCCCCACAGCAACAGACAAGGACGAGGAGTACGAATCAGCAAACATCACACGCATGCAGCACGACGGGAAGCAGCACACAACGCATACGAAACCGGAAGCCGCACATCTCCTTTGGTTGGGCCGGCGGAATGGCGCAGGCCTCTTGAACGAGGGAGGGATCCAACCCAGTGCAACATGCCGCGTCTCATTTTTTGTTGTTTTCCTCCACCGGACGAGCCACCAACATGATGCCTCCACCTGCGAGCACTGCACACCACTGCAGCCACACTGCGCCGCAGCGTGAGACGGAGGAGCGGATGGAGGGCGTCGGGATTGCTCGACACCAACATGCCGCGTCTTTTTGGAATGACTACGCAGCCATGCCGTACTGCCTCTGAGCGCCACCCGACGAATGCCTGAAGTGCTGTGAACGCGCACAGCAGTTGGCAAGTCGCCCATCGCCGCTGGTAAGAGCTGCCTCGTTTGCCAGACTGTAGAGAGCCAGCGCGCAGGAAAAAGCGACGTCCTCCGCGCCCTCCCCCGTTTTTCCTCATTCGTTCGTTGGCATTTCGACCCAGCTTTGCCTTGGTGCCTCAGGAGGAGGAGGAGGAGGAGGAGGAGGAGGAGGAGGAGGAGGAGGAGGAGGAGGAGGAGGAGGGGGGGGCACGCCCCACGCCGTTGGCCAACGCGGGATTGCACAGCGCGATCCCTGCGCGCGCCGGTGCGCCCTGTGTTCACGCACTGGCACGGCTGGGCTTAGGCGGCGAGCACCGACCGACCTGCTTTTCTTCGGCCTTCCCTCTCCTCGTCCTTACCATCGGTTTCGAAGAAATCAACACAAACGTACACAGTCGGGGGTGCGCACGGACCTCTTGGATCGGCGCCGGATGCCAGAGATCCGCGCGGACCTCCGAGGAGTGTATGTTATGCCGGCATTTCTTCTTAGAACCTCCTCCTCTCCTCATCATCCTCCCGATCATCATCATCAGCAGCATCATCAGCAGCAACATCATCATCATCATCATCATCATCATCATCATCATCATCATCATCATCATCATCATCATCATCATCGGCATCGGCATCATCCTTCTCAGCATCAACATCATCATTATCATCATTATCATCATCATCAACATCATCGTCATCATCGTCATCGCCATCTTCAACATCATACTCGTTATCGTTATCATCATGATCAACATCATAATCATCATGATACCGGAGAAAAACAATCCTAATCTCTCTAGGGCCATAAGGCTATGGAGCTATAGGGCTACAGGGCTATAAGGCTCTGGGGCTATAGGGCTACAGCGCTATAGGGCTATAGGGCCTAGGGCTATAGGGCTATGGGGCTATATGGCTATAAGGCTGTTAGGCTATAGGGCCATAGGGCTATAGGGCTATAGGGCTATAGAGCTATGGGGCCACAGGGCTATATGGCTATTAGGGCTATAGGGCTATAGGGCTACAAGGCTTAAGGCTATAAGGCTATAGGACTATAGGGCTATAGGGCTACCGTGCACCCGGGCACCCGGGCACCCCTGGCACCTCCAGGCACCTCCGGGCACCTCCGGGCACCAGGGCACCCGGGCCGGCCACCAAAATCGGCGACGAACCTCACCTAACCATATGAATCCGCTAGGATCCCTAAAGAGGCAAGCTCTGATTGGGGAATCAGCATTATCATGATCAGCATCAGCATCAACATGACCATCAGCATCAGCATAATCTCCACCATGATCATGATCATGAGTCGAATAATCATTATCATCCTCATCCTCATCCTTATCAACATCATCAGCATCAGCATCAGCCTCAACATCACCATACTCATCTTCATCATCACCATCACCATCACCATCACCATCTCAATCACCATCATCACCGACAGTAACAACATCATGGCCACAGCCATCATCACCATCATCATCATCACCATCATCATCATCATCCCCATCATCCTCATCCTCATCCTCATCCTCACCCTCATCCTCATCCTCATCCTCATCCTCATCCTCATCAACAACATCATCATCATCATCGTCATCATCCTCATCCTCATCCTCATCCTCATCCTCATCATCATCAACAACATCATCATCAACATCAACAACAACATCATCATCAGCATCGTCATCATCCTCATCCTCATCCTCATCCTCATCCTCATCCTCATCATCATCATCATCATCATCATCATCATCGGCATCATCCTTCTCAGCATCAACATCATCATTATCATCATTATCATCATCATCAACATCATCGTCATCATCGTCATCGCCATCATCAACATCATACTCGTTATCGTTATTATCATGATCAACATCATAATCATCATGATACCGGAGAAAAACAATCCTAATCTCTCTAGGGCCATAAGGCTATGGAGCTATAGGGCTACAGGGCTATAAGGCTCTGGGGCTATAGGGCTACAGCGCTATAGGGCTATAGGGCCTAGGGCTATAGGGCTATGGGGCTATATGGCTATAAGGCTGTTAGGCTATAGGGCCATAGGGCTATAGGGCTATAGGGCTATAGAGCTATAGGGCCACAGGGCTATATGGCTATTAGGGCTATAGGGCTATAGGGCTACAAGGCTTAAGGCTATAAGGCTATAGGACTATAGGGCTATAGGGCTACCGTGCACCCGGGCACCCGGGCACCCCTGGCACCTCCAGGCACCTCCGGGCACCTCCGGGCACCGGCCTGGGCACCCGGGCCGGCCACCAAAATCGGCGACGAACCTCACCTAACCATATGAATCCGCTAGGATCCCTAAAGAGGCAAGCTCTGATTGGGGAATCAGCATTATCATGATCAGCATCAGCATCATGACCATCAGCATCAGCATAATCTCCACCATGATCATGATCATGAGTCGAATAATCATTATCATCCTCATCCTCATCCTTATCAACATCATCAGCATCAGCATCAGCCTCAACATCACCATACTCATCTTCATCATCACCATCACCATCACCATCACCATCTCAATCACCATCATCACCGACAGTAACAACAACATCATGGCCACAGCCATCATCACCATCATCATCATCACCATCATCATCATCATCGTCATTATCATCATCCTCATCCTCATCCTCATCCTCATCCTCATCCTCATCCTCATCCTCATCAACAACATCATCATCATCATCATCGTCATCATCCTCATCCTCATCCTCATCCTCATCATCATCAACAACATCATCATCAACAACAACATCATCATCAGCATCATCATCATCATCCTCATCCTCATCCTCATCCTCATCCTCATCCTCATCATCATCGGCATCATCCTTCTCAGCATCGACATCATCATTATCATCATTATCATCATCAACATCATCGTCATCATCGTCATTGCCATCATCAACATCATACTCGTTATCGTTATTATCATGATCAACATCATAATCATCATGATACCGGAGAAAAACAATCCTAATCTCTCTCGGGCCATAAGGCTATGGAGCTATAGGGCTACAGGGCTATAAGGCTCTGGGGCTTGAAAATTAAAATAATAAATATGCAAGGCAACAGCGCTATAGGGGGCTAACTAATATGAAATTTACAAAATAAAATTAAATGATAAATGATTAACGTAGGGCCAACCTCCTATGGCTATAGGGCTATGGGGCTATATTGTCTATAAGGTGGAGGCTGTTAGCAAAGGCCACACACACAATATGGCTATAAAGCAATATAGGGCTAAAGAGCTATATTGCCACAGGGCTATAAATGGCTATTAGGGCTTGTAGGCTACAAGGCTTAAGGCTATAAGGCTATAGGATGCTATAGGACTATAGGGCTATAGGGCTACCGTGCACCCGGGCACCCGGGCACCCCTGGCACCTTCAGGCACCTCCGGGCACCTCCGGGCACCTGGGCACCCGGGCCGGCCACCAAAATCGGCGAGCATCAGCCTCAACATCACCATACTCATCTTCATCATCATCAGCACCATCACCATCACCATCACCAAACCCCAACTCACTGAAACCATTAATCACCGAACAGTAAACAACAACAAAACATGGCCACACCATCAATCACCATCATCATCATCACCATCATCATCACCAACGTCATCACATCACTATCATCTCGTCAACATCCTCACCCTCATCCTCATTCTCACCACATCCTCATCCACATCCTCATCCTCATACCTCATCCTCATCCTCATCCTCATCCTCATCCTCATCCTCATCATCATCATCATCATCGTCATCATCATCATCATCATCATCATCATCATCATCATCATCATCATCATCATCATCATCATCATCATCATCATCATCATCCACCACCGTCCTCATCATTCTCATCATCCTCGTCATCATCAGCAGCAGCACAACTATCGGCAACATCCCCACGGCAGGCCGAAGACCGACTGGCCTGCGCTCGAGGTCGGAGCACCGGCGTCGCCCCTCCCTCGAGGCCGCTGCGCCGCTCGGACCGAGCAGCCCCGGGAGGACCCTCCCGCGGCACGGTGCGGGCGGGCCAGCTCCCTGCACGGTTTCCCCCGGGGCCGAAGGCGACCGGAGGAGGAGGAGGACGAGGAGGAGGAGGAGGAGGACGAGGAGGAGGAGGAGGAGGTGGTGGAGGAGGGGGAGGGAGAGGGAGGGAAGGAGGAGCGGAGGAGGAGGAGGAGAGGAGGAGGAGGAGGAGGAAGGAAGAGGAGGAGGCGAGGAGGAGGAGGAGGAGGAGGAAGAGGGAGGAGGAAGGAGGCGGCGGAGGAGGATTGGGAAGGATGGTGGGAGGGAAGGAGGACGGGTCGCTAAGCCCTTCGGATAAACCCTCCACAGGGGGGAAACCCTCCACAGCTCCCCGCTCCCAGGCCGCGTGCGCACGGGCCCTCTGCACTCGGCGGAGGGCCGGTCGAAACGGCGGCGCCCCTCCCCGGCGAGTTCCATCCTTGTGGCCCCCGTGGTGGAGGCCTCTCGTCGTCGCAGCCGGATCCGTCTCGAAGAATCGGTCTGCGGAAAAAAAAAAAAAGAGCGGCCTTGGGCTAGGCGAGAGAGCCGGCGCTGTCGCGACCGGTCCTCCTCCGATGCATCGAGCCGACGACCTCAGGCGGGCTTCTGCCGCTCCTCCGCCCACCCCTTTTCCTCCTCCTCCTCCTCCTCCTCCTCCTCCTCCTCCTCCTCCTCCTCCTCCTCCTCCTCCACTGCCGTGCCAGTCAGCCCCCGCGCGACCGTGCGTGCACGCTGCTTCCAGGCGCACACGTAACACATTCAGGCATGCGCTCCTGACCAGGCGCGCGGGCGCGCGTGCGCGAGCCGCTGCTCCCCCCCCCGTCCCGACGACCTCTGCCATGCTGGAGGAGCTTCCGAATACGAGCGAGCTTACGCTGGACACTGCCTGGGCCACCAGCAGCATGTCTGCGCTACTATCAATACGATTGGCCTGCGATGCTGCCTGCTGCACTGTGACGATGGCGCTGGCCACTCAATCCCATGCTACCAGTGCAATGGCCCTGCCGATTATGCAGTCTTGATTTGCTCACCCGCAGCATTTCCATGCGCTGTAACCGCAACCTGTCAGTCGGAAGTCCTCGGAGGCGATGATAATATCGCAGGACATCGCAAGCTCACAACCTGCGGTGCAAGGCCAAGTGAGCATCACGGCGCAAGAATGAGGAACGCGCCACTGTCCAGCCAACGGGTGGTTCCTCACCCAACGACACCACAGGCACAATTCCTAAATTTCGAACCCAAGCGCTGAAGACGCCATCGCTTCCTGGGCTGAGGCCCCAAGCGAATCATCCATCTCTACTAGTGACCCAGGCACCAAGCAAAGACCCAGACCCACAAACTGTCACCACCCATCGACACAGCGAGCCCTATCCAAAATGAGCCCCCGTCCATCAACGGTGACCGCCCGTCTTGCCACGATGCCGAGGCCACCCAGAACGTCTTGGACCCTGGCCGCCACACAACTCTGGTCTTAGACCCTGGCAGCTTCGATACAGAGTTTGGGTACCTGTCTCGCCATTTGCTTTGAGACGTCGCTGAACCTGTCCAGATCTGTAGTCTTCATCCGCCACCCAGATCGGGTTCTAGGCTTGGTCTGGCTCGGCTTGAAACTTGGCTTTCTCTCTCGGCCTTCGCGATGTGACGGCGACTCACTTAGTCGAATTGGCACAATCACTACAGGCAGTCATCATCCACGCATATCGCGCCCAGAAGCATGCACTGGCTGGAAATGGCGGTGATGTACCGACTGAACAAGAAGCGAAATAATCAGCGCCTTCTTCCTGCAACGTCGTTGCTGCGAGCGGCTCGGGGGACGCTGCACAGCCGAAGCAACAAGCCAGCCTGCGACGTCGCCGAGAGCCTGCAGAGTGGGCCTTTTCATGTCTATGCACGTCAACCTTGGCTTCGGCTTCAACTTTGGGTGCACTGCGAAGCGCTTCCGGGCCAGGTCATCCCGGTCGGTGCTTCCGCTCGCATGGGTGCCTCCCCCATTCCCCCAGAAGTCAAGATTTTGGGGGCCCGAGACGTTATGGTGACAGACCGTGCGGTGACCTCGGAAACCCCGAAGACCTCACCGCACGGTCTGTCACCGCACCGTTTTGGGACCCTGCAGGCCCCAATCGCCCGACACGTCCTCGGAGAACGACCCTCGAGTCCCAAACTCGTACGGCCACCCCGGATCCTGCCTCGCTACGCAATGTGGTCACCGCACCGTCTGGGGCCCCCAGGACATGCAAAACAACGCCGGGCTTCGAACGCTTATCCCCCCTCCTCCCGTGCCTCTCCCTCCCCCGCCTCCCTGCCTCTGGCGTCCCTCCTCCTCCTCCTCCTCCTCCTCCTCCTCCTCCATCCCTCCTCCTCCCCTCCCCACCTCCTCCTCCTCCTCCTCCCCCTCCTCCTCCTCCTCCCCCTCCTCCCCATCCCCCTGCCCCTCCCTGCCCCTCCCCCCCCTCCCCCTCCATCCGCCAGAGGTCTGGAACTTCTTGCCGCGAAGACCCGCCCGCTGCGACGAAACATGCGAGAGGGACGAGCGGGCGGGCGCTCCATGCTCCGCGACGCCTCCGCCGAGCGCGAAGCCGTTGACCGCGGCGACCACGGGCTTCCGGATGCTGGAGACCGCGGACCTGCGCTGGCTGCACGCAGGAGGGAACCTCGGCAAGGGCGCCCCTGTGGTGCGCGGCTCACGGGGGAATCATTCATATCAAACCCAAGAGCCGTCAGAACCGACGACGTGGACTCACCAGGAAAAAATGAAGGGGGGGGTCGCAAAACTGGTGGAAACATCTCCCTCACCACTAAGAGAGGGTCACAAAAAACTGACGACCGCCACCTGGGGAACTGCGGGGATATGATATTGCAGCGAAGAGGAGGGGTTGGGAATTCTGACGACGGCGCGGCCGCCCGAGCCGTTAGCCCCCTTTGCCGAAAGCAAACCGACGACGGCGCGGCCAGAAAACCCCTAAGTCGCTTTCTATTGGAGTCGCGCCAGTGATGTGCGCGGCTCTCGTGCGCCGCGGGGAGGGCGCCGAATCCCAGCGCGCAAGCCCGTGCTGCGGGAGCCCCTGAGGGCCCGCACCGAAGGTCGCCCTGTCGAAAGGTCACGCTGCGGCGCGGCCCGCTGTGGGTGCGCGCGCCGTGCCTCGTTCCACGACGCGGCTCTACAGAGCCCTGGGCTCCTCCCCTGGGGACCGGCCCCTCATCCTCAGCTGATCTCTTCGACAGCCCCGGGGCCCGGCGAGGGCCCCAGGAGGCCGAACATGGAGGCCAGAAGCCCGCCGTGATGGTTCCCATCCTGCGGTCGTCGGTCCTCGTTTTGAACCAGCAGCGTCCCGCGTTCCTCACCTCACCTCCTCCCTCCTCCCAGTCCTGCCTCTGCCTTCCGTCCAGGGGACGAGCGGAGCAGACGAGCTTGCCGTCCCGCGCGATCTCGCAAGCCATGGGGGGCTAAATCCTGGAGGCCTCGCGCGGCAACTTGAGACCCAATTGGTATATCGGATCCGCGTCGGACTCACGCGGGATGTGCGGCGGGTTCGCGTCGGGCTCACGCCGGACTTGCGTCGGAGCATCGCCGCGCGAACTTCGGCGGAGCGGACGTGTGGACCAGAGGATACAACTGTGGCGCGCCGCACGAGGCCTCCAAGATTTTCCTCACAGTGTGAGGCAACACCCGAGCTGAAATCGCACCCTGAACTTGCGAGCCTTGCGCGGAGGGTGGGCCGGTAGGCCCTTCCTTCGGGCCTCGCCCACTGAGACATCGGGAGAGAACATCAACAACCTCGCGCGAAGGAACAACACAATCATTGTGGCTGTGCTGGACTGTACCCTGGCAGACGTAGACGTTGCAGCCAGGCGCCATCGGTGCGCACTCACTGGGTGGAGAGGCGGCAAACACATTGGCGCAACGGACCAGTGCGCCAGCATGTTGCTGTTTCTGACCTGCGCGTAGTCCGACCTGCCAGAGAGGTGCAAACGGGCATATAAGGGCATCATTTTCAATACGTCTCTCTAAATTCAGCTGCGTGCTGCTTCGGGGTCATTGTAGGCACACGCCCCTGCATCATGACCATAGCAGATGATCGCGCACACACGCACACGCGGCAAGGCCTCGATCGGAACAAAGAAGAACGCGACTCCCAAACGCAACCCCTCCTGGGCATTCTCTCCGTCTGCTCATCCTCATCCTCATCCTCATCCTGACCTTTCCGTCCTCATTGTTTCCCTCTTCCTCCTCGTGCTTCCTCCTCGCACCCGATCCCCGGTCAGAGCTCCAGCATCAGCTGAGCCCTGTGCTCCTGGTTCGAGAAGCCCTGCCCATCTGTCGATGTACGAAGCTGCTCGTCGTCAGGGAAGGGTGGGCGGGAGAAGCATGATGAAGAAGCGGCAGCCGGCTTGCGATCACCCCGCCAACCCGAAATCACGACGGCTTCGTGGATTCGGGACCTTCAAGGCCCTATAGGCTCCTTCCCTGGGGCCGGGGTGTCGTCCTGGCAATAATTGGTTGACAGTCCTGGGGCCCGGCATGGGCCTGCATGGGCCCAACTGATGAGATCGGTAGCGGCCAAGAAGGGGGTGTCCAAGAGGGGGGGGGCAATCATGACCGGCGGCATGTGCGCGGCCCAGCGGGGGGGCCAGGGACGCAATGAAGTAAGAAGAGGCGCCATGAGATCTGGGGAAATATCATGGCCCCCGCCATGATGTCCACCCCCCCCTCGTCATCACCCCCCTCTTTTCCGCCCCCGATGACACAAACAACAGCCGACATTTTTCGCGTCGCGGGATCTCAGTGAGACCTTGCGCTCCTAGTCCCCCCATGCTCTGGCGCGTGCCGTGTCATCGCCGCACCCAGGGAGAGGGGGGCCCCGCGGGACCAGAAAACAGCAAGAAGCGGAGGGACCCGGGCCCGGTCAGGAGCCTTCCTGGGAGGGATGACGCCCTGACCGCAAGGGAGCCCTGTCCTCCCCGACCCGCCCGGCGGCGCGCAGAAAGGGGGGACGGGGCGAGGAGGGGCGGCCTTGCACGAAGGGAGCGGGCCTTCTTACGGTTGGTGTTGGAGAGATCGCGTGCTACAGGGCAGTTTATTATTATTAGTATTATTATTGGTAGTATTATTATTATTATTATTATTATTAGTATTATTATTATTATTATTATTATTCGTATTATTCTTATTCTTATTATTCTTATTATTCTTATTATTATTATTAATATTGTTAATATTACTACTATTATTATTATTACTATTATTATTATTATTATTTAGTCTGGGATGGTTAAAAATATAGGATGTTTGATACATGATTAATGTATGAATAAATTTATGCATGAACACATCGCTGTTTTTAATACTAAATCCCTGCATTTTGCATACATGATCCGCACGCGGAGCATGTATTAAAACCGGCACTGAACTGTGAGGCGATCCACCCTGTGAGGGCTCCTGCTGCGCACGCTATGCCCCTGCCAGGGCACCTCGGCGCGCGCTGTCCCCAGAGCGGGGGATGGCGTGTGATCAGCGGGCCGGCCGGCGCCACGGCGCACGCCACGTCTTGTCCACGCCGACCGGGGAGGGATCGGAGACCCAGCTGGCGGGCTCCTGCCAAGCCCCTCCGCCTGCCTTCTCGGCTGGCAGCAGCCCCTGTCGCGCAACCTGCCCCCCCCCCCACCCCCAGACCCCGACTTCGGATCCGCCCTACCTTTGGCGATGTCGTAAGCAGGGCGGGGTTTTGATGTCGATGTCCGCCCTGCCATCGCCGTTTCCGCCCTTCTTTTGTGGGTCTCCGCCCTTCTTAACGGAAGGAGTTGTGGCACTTTCCAAGTAAGTTGCGAGATGACCCACCCAACTGCGAAATATCTCGCGGAGTCTAAGCGGTGGAACTTTCCGGAAATATCTACCGTACTTTCTGAGGCAGAAAGTTCCGCGAGCGTGGCCCGTGGCTCGTACGCGGCCCAAAACGGGGGCGAATGGGGGTGCTGATAGGAAGAGAGGCCATGCAATCCCGTGGAATTTTTCATGGCCCCCGCCAGATGATCCACGCCCCAAGAATTATCATCACCCCTCGAAGACGCGGGCGGAGGGTGAGGAAAAGAGAGCTTCCGCGGCACGAGCGAACGCGACCCCGAGGGTGATCTTACGACGCGCTCCCGAAGCAGAGAGCTGTCCGACAACGCTCTGCGCGGTCACGCCGTAACCCATCGGACATCCGAGTTGGGAGCGACGTTCGGCGCGATGCACGGTGCGCGCACAACAACTCATTGCTCGCATAGGTCTCCATCAACTGGACAGCGCACGCTTCCTTCTGAGAGCAGCCTGCCAGGTGAGGAGAGAGGGAGGACGAGGACACCGGCAAAAAGCACACGTTGCGAGGCGAGGAACACTCGGGCCTGCACTTCCCAACTGGCTCTTGCCTCGCTCTTCCTGTGACCCCAGAGAGCCCAGGTGAGCAACAGTGCTCGCTCCAGGGATCCTGGAACTTTGCGAGGACGATGCGCATTCGAAACTGCCAGCGAAGAAATAGTAAGGAAAGGTATCGAGGGGGCAAAGGGGAGAAAGGTCCCCACGAACGCAACGCACAACTGTTTCAACCTTCGGCGGTACGCTCCTGCTCCGCCCGACTCCTCTACCAAGCGGAATGTCAATTTCCCACCTGATCGGTCTGATTTTCCCGTCCGAAGCTGCGCACAGAAACCTGATATCATGCATGAACATTACGACGATCTGTGTTTTCTTGCCGTGCGCAAGTGTATTACCCAGCACCACCCCATGCGAAATCTACTTTCGCCCTGGACCATTGTGCAGTCCCACGCACCGCATGAGTGAGCTTCCTACGGCGCCATTCCCCCATGTTGAGTTCGTGTGCGACGAAAACTAAATTTGCAGCCGTGTATCCGAAGTCGTCGTCCACACGCTCAAGCGAGGCTCACCAATCTGAGCCTGGAGTCAGACATTGCAGAGGAATTCCTGAACTAGTGGCACCTCCCCTGCTGTTGCCGCAATTTGTCCAGCAACACATCTAAACTCAAATTGCTGACATGTCCTCACTTAGCGAACCCTGTCCGTGCTGAGCCCAGCAAAGTCATCATGTTGCCTCGGAGTGCGCGGGAAGATTTGAAATAGTACGCTCGCGTGCAACCGCGGCAAAGGAGGGAGATGCCAGTGCAAGGCTGCGTGATCTGCATTCCGACGCACCTACCACAATAAAATAGGACGCGTAGTCTTGAATGGCCAGATCCACTCGACTCGAAAGTTTCTGACCACGTCAGGGAGAAGATGATGATAGTGAGTGGAGTAGCCGTAACGAGGGCTTGCCCCACACAGGTAAATTACACACGGTAGGTACTTGGTGAAAACTCTATCTGAAGAATGCCACATCCCAGCTCGTAGGCCGCAGTCATCATCTCAGATCGCTTGAAAAGGGTCCGGCGACATGTCCAGCGTGATCCAGCCCGACTTCGCCGTGACTCTTGGGACCGAGGTCCAGAAGTTGGCAGGGACGCCCCGCCGTCTCGCAATGGTGGTGCGTAGGGTGAGATACTCGGGACAGTCCGAAACAAAAAGGTGTCTGAAGCTTTGCCACGAGGCCCCGCAATGTGAGCGGGGCCGTCCCGTCTGCCGCCTTGCCTCCGTCGAAGCTGCACCTGCCAAGAAGATCCCAAGAAGCTTAATTGTCGGTCACGGCGAGAGACTCCACAGAGTACTTGAGAGGTCTACCTGCGAGCGCCTCCACATCGACTTCATCGATCGCCTCTTCAATCATCTGGTTCAGTCGTAAGCAATCAACACTGACCTTCTGCAGCGTGGGCACTTCTGACACTTTCTTGCTGGACCACTGCGCGCTATCAGACAGTTTGTGAATACCCATATCTGGTTTCGGCCTGCATATCCAGAATTGAACTCAGCCGCCACGAGCACGCAGTTGCCAACAGTATTGCCTTCACGATTGTCCACCCTTTCAAGGGACACTCGCCAGTGGGAATTCAAGACATAGCATTCCAAGTTTACCCCTGAATAGAAACAGCGGCCTGACTGCTCGGACATCACGCGCAATCTATCATCGCAAACACAATCCCATCCCCGAATCCTCGACCTGCACCGCGCGCTTCCCAGCAACGCACAGACGGTGCAACGCAATGCAAATCTCAATGTTCGACCTGCTTCAGAAACACATGTCTCAAATGTCGGCATCCGGCCGCTTGCTCGAGATTCATCCTTCTGGAACAGAAAAAGCTCCCGTCACTCTCCTCCACGTGGGTTTCTAGGCTCGCCGAGGTGGAACGTGAAGGGGGGGCCAGCTCAGCGGGGGGGGACACATCGACCTCGCATCGGCCATGCCTCGCCGATGGATTCACGACAGCGGATCCGAGCGGTCCTGGGCGGGATAGGCCATCCGGCTCCCAGCGACCACGAGTGGGCGATCTGGGGTCGATGCAGTCCCCCTGCCCCCTACCGTTGCCCTTAACATTAGGTCGGGCCTGTCCCCCTACAGTGGGATTTTCGACGAAAAATAAAACAACACCCCAAACATAATCCAAACAAATAATACAAACATAGTCTGGGGACTATTTTTTTGAATATTGTTTGACCTTTTTGGTGTATGTTTGGAGTATGTTTTATTGTTCGTCGAAAATCCCCCTGTAGGGGGACACGCCCGACATAACCCTAACACGTTGGCTGTCTCCGCGGGCCCCCGGGGCCGTGCCAGCCCCCAAACCTCAGGAGAGAGTTCAGCCTCGAGCGCCCGAGCGCTCGCGCCTGCGCCGCGGCGCCGAAGCGGCACGAGCCTGCTGGGGGGGGAGGAGGAGGAGGAGGAGGA